TGAACTACATCCCCAACCGCCAACAAGCACTTTGGTTTTGTATCTGGCAGTATGTTAGATCCTAGGTGACATCTCTAGAGAGTGTCAGGTGCCTGGACATAGCTGTCTTTTCCTCACAGCTGAGATGTATATGCTCTCATAGAGTGACTAAAGCGATGCTTTGAGTGGAGGCTTGATGGGGGGTGGGTTTTTGGAGGAAGTGGTGTCAGGGTAGAGGCCTGAAAGTCTCAGGAGGAGGTAGTCAGACCCAGAGCTTGCAGGGCAGGTAGAGGGCACAGCCCCCATCCTGAGAGCAGTCAGTCTGGCTCAGCTGTTGAATGTTTCTGCCGTTAGACTTGCTGCAAGAGAGAGGTGAGCGGCCTGGGTGCTTAGAGTTGGTGCCCAGTACTGGCTGGGTGGAGGCACACCCATGACTGACCAGGACTTTCTCTTTGCACATCAGTTTTATGAACTCTTCTCCAGGAAGGGCTGCCTTACAGTAACCTCACTGTAAGATATTTCTCAGAAGAGGAAACAGACTCAGTGGAATTAGGTCCTTGGCTTTCATTTTGGAGAGAGAAAATTCCAATCCTGGTCAGGTGTGGTGGTATGTTCTTATAATCTTAGCTTCTTAGGAATCTGAGGCAGGAGGATCAGTTGAGCTTGGGAGTTTGAGGCCAGTCTGGACAAACACATGGAGATTTGAACTTAGGTCTTTCAAAGTTTAGTTTAGTTTAATTTTGAGATAGGATCTTGCGTTATAGCCCAGGCTAGTCTCAACTTCCCAAGTCCTGGCCCATCAGTTCTGGTTTCCCCTCTGTGTTTCTAGGGGCTATTGCACATCTCTCCAGTAGGCTGTTCTGTTTCCCCTTTAGACCTGTGGGCCACTCCAGTGGATGAGTGCTGAGTGTAAACCTTCGAGTCTTCTCCCCAGTCCTTAGCCGAGGACCCGTACATTCTGTTTTCTAATCACATCTCCTATGGGGTTGGGTCAGAGTTTCTGTTTCCTCGGGGTGGTTCTAGGATCTGAGGGGTAGGCCCATGCCCATGGTGGTTCTCTGTCTTCTACCCCTCAGGCTTGCCTAAGCCATGGGAAGTCCCAGCTCATTGTTGCACGTGGCCAGGCCTTTCTGCATGGCTCCCTCTCTAAACGGTTGCCCCCGTGCTTGTTTTGCCAGGGTGATGGTGTGCTCGGAAGGCCACCTTGCAGAGCCTGCCCAGAGGTGGTTAGGTTGCTGTTATTGTCTCCTCATCCCTGGTATTAAGTGTCCCAAACCCCTTTTCCAGATTTGGCCAGGAGCTGGCTGTGGCATTAAAAAATAGAGGCATGATCCACCCAGCCTTTTAAGGAGCTAGCAGGTCTGCTGCTGGTAGCACAGTTTCCTTTCCTCCTAGAACAGCCAGCTGGCCTGGGGGTCTGTCCTGATTCTGGAACCTCTGGGCAGCTCTCCTGAAAGCCCTCCTAAAGGGTTCTCTGCCCTTGTCTCCCAAGCTGGAGGGGTCGGGGGTAGTTAGGGCAAGAATGGAAGAATCGGCAGATCAAGAACCTGCCCGTGGGTTTCCTGGTAGACAGTGTTAGAGCTACAGCGGTGGCTGCAGCAGCAGTGGGGACAGGCGGGGACCACCCTCAGGTCTCGTCTGGGCCAGGGAGGAGAAGGTGCGGTGACTGGCAGACTCCTGAGGGGGACAGCTAGCGTCCTAGACCGTAGAACAGCACAACAAACAAGAAGCCAGAGCTGCTCATGTTGGAGCTCATGGAGGAGAGGCAGAGCAGCTTTCGTTTCTAATGGTTTCCTTTCTCATTTATAATTTCCCTTCCTTCCGTTAGCAGCCAGTCTTGGTTTTCAAACCGTCTCTAAAACCAGTGGTTGTCACTTCCGTTTTCATGAAGTTGCTGAAAGTTCCACAGGGTGGGGGTGGCAGGGTGTGTGGTGCTGAGTATTGAATGATCTGAAGAAAGTGCCTAAGTCACGGGCAACTTCTGGGAGCCCCTGCTTTCCTGTTTGAGCACTGTCCCCCTGGTGTAGTGACGGTCTCTCCCTTCTCCTGCTTGGAAGTGTCTGAGCGTGGTCTCAGGGCAGCCTGTGGAAGGGTTTGTTTGCCCTACTGCATCAGGACCTGCCTTCCACCTGCATCCCTCCCGCATGAACCCCATACTGACCATTACCTCTAGACTTGTTCCAGTGGCCCCCTACCCCGTTCTCTGGGAAGCCAGCGTGGGGAGAGAATCCCAACCTCTTCCCTGGGACAGGTGGTAAGGTTGGAGTAGGGATGGGAATTTTGAGGGACTGTGAACTAACTGTACCCTCTAACCAGGCATCTTAGAAGTGAGTTTCTGTCAAAAGACTGTAGCATGTCGTATGGATTCTGATCTGTCTCTTGGTAGCTGTATGGTTCTCTTCCTTGGACCCCTTTTCTAAATAGATTCTGTTGTCAAATGGAACTGACAATGATTCTTTCCCTTTTGTCTTGGTGTGAAGACAACATTCTGACAGACTCGGTCCTGGCGATAACCACAGGTGATGGCTTGGCCTTGCTCCTGACCTGTCTCGGACCGTGGAGAAGGGTTTTTTTATGTTCTCCAAACAGCTCCACTTCACCACATTTATTTTGTGTGTGCGAGTGTGCATGTACACACACTTTTACCACAGCGTGTGTGTGTGTGTAGAAGTCTGAGGACACTTGCAAGAATCAGTTCTCTCCTTCCACACGTGGGACCCAGGGATTGAACTCCGACGGTTAGGTTTGGCGGCGGCAAAGTGCGTTTTCCTGTCGGGCCGTCTCACCAGCCCTAAGCCCCACTGTATTAGTAGGGAAGTGTGTCGCTAGCACATGCTAGTGAATCTGCCCACCACCCTCTGCATGGAGTTCTGCTGGCCACCCTGAAGAAAGCCTTCATCACTGCATTCAGTGAGGCTCTTCCATGCTTCTCAATTGGGTGTTTCTAAGAGTCCCCCTGGCCCTCTATCTATCCTCTGGATCCTCTGGGCTCCCTATCAACTCTCACACTGCATATCCGTTCTCTGTTCTGTGAGCTTGCTGACTGGTCTGCTTGGTGACCCTTCTCCAGCCAGGCCTGGCCCAGGCGTTGACTCCTAGCTGTAAGATAGGCAGTCCCCAGTGAGGCTTGTGCTGCAGGCCTAGGTGGGCACAGTGTAGGCCTCCTGCCCAGAGTGTAGCTAGGACTGCCTGCCGGGTGTAGAGGCCTTAGTGGCCCATCTCAGCGCGGCTCCGCACCACTGAGGCTCCTTAAGCATCCGCCATCTTCTCACCATACAGACTTAGCAGAGTGGGCTTTCTTATCTCAAGGATGTGGGTAGTGAGGGGTGAGGAAAGGGTGGTCTGAGCTCTCCAGGCACAGCTTTGGTGAGCTTCCCTCCTTCAGGCCAGCAGGTGCTTTGTTGGCTCTGGTTTGGCCTCAATATAGTGGCCCTGGGCAGATTTTGTTTCTGCATTAATGGTTTTGTTGACATATTATTTATTTGCCGTCCAGTTTATCCATGTAAAGAGTACAAGTCAGTGGTTCTGAGTACATCCATAACTTTGTATAACCATCGGCACAATCATTTTTATTTCATGCTATTTTTTTTCTCATAGTTTTTTAACTTTTTTTTTTTTTTTTGGGAGACGGGGCTGGTGCTGAACTCATTATGTAGTCAAAATTGATTTTAAACATCTAGATCCTCCTGCCTCAGCCTCTCAAGTGCTCAGATTACAAGAATGCACCATTGTGCCTGGCTGAGTTTTAAAATGTTAAGAAAAAAAAAAAAAATCACCTCAAAAGGAAACTGTCCCCTTAAGCAATTCCACTTCCTCTAGTTCCTTAAAACTCATAATCTCTCCTCAGTCACTGTGGATGTCTGTTCTGGACGCTTCGTAGAATCCCTTACTGCCATGTGAGACGGCCTCCTGTGGGGAGAGGCTCCACGTTCGTTCACGGAGGTGAACTTCTTGTTGCTTCCCACCACGTGGTCTTCAGCCGGAAATCAGCAGTCAGGATTAATGTGGCGGTTACCCCTTGAGATTATTCTAGTCCTAGGTATGCGCAGATCAGGAACCTGTCTGCCTCACCACCCCCTTCCCCGTCTGTGAGTGTTCTTCCGGGCTGGCGAGTCCCCTGTGCAGTGAATGTTTTCTGTGACAAGTGCTTGGTTGGCCTGTGAGATTGCCCTTAGTGAGGAAGTAGGAAAGGTCTGCACAACACGTGCTTCTTATGAAAGAGGAGTTCCTTCACCGGCGCCCCACATCTAGGATAACACTCGCAGCACCTGCATTGACCCTGGGACTAGCCTGTCCCTTCCCAACCTGCCTTGAGTGACCTTGTACCTCCTTCTCCTGGACTTCCTCCCTTTGGCCTTGATGGAATGGAGCCAAGGGGTGGTAGTGATTTTACTTTATGAATTTCAGACTGGCAGTCTCCTGCCTCAGGGGCTGGAACCTTGTGACAGCATAGTTTGGCAATATGTATGTCTTTTCAGTTAATATTTGTGAGCATTTACAACTAAAGGGTAAGGTTCTGTGTCAGGCAGTATCCCGTGTGCTCTTAGTAACATAGGAAGACTTTGGAAGAATAGTCTAAATTTTTTTTTATTTATTTTGTATTTTTTAGATTTTTAAGTTTTATGTATATGAGTGTTTGGTCTTTATTTATGTCTGTGCACCACATGTGTGCCTAGTCCCTGTGGAGGCCAGAAGAGGGCATTGGGTCCCCAGGAACTGGAGTTACAGACAGTTGTGAGCTGCCATATGGGTGCTGGGAATTGAACCCGAGTCCTCTGGAAGAGCAAGTACTCCAAACCACTGAGTGGTCTTCAGCCCCTGCAGTCTTTTTTCTTTTTTCAAAGATTTATTTATTTATTTATTTATTTATTTATTTATTTATTTATTTATTTATTTATTTATCTATCATGTATACAATGTCCTGCCTGCATATATACCTGCAGGCCAGAAGAGGGCGCAGATCTCACTACAGATGGTTGTGAGCCACCATGTGGTTGCTGGGAATTGAACTCAGGACCTCTGCAAGAGCAGCCAGTGCTCTTAAACGCGGAGTCATCTCTCCAGCCCGTCCCCTGCAGTCTTTATTGTCAGGACAGGTAGCTATAAGGGCTTGTTATTGTGTGATAATCTTCTTTCTGGATAGCAGTAAGTGAGCTCTATAGAGGTCAGAGCAAGTGGACCAAGGCTGGGAAAGCCCCTGTGCAAGGAGAATGCTTAATAAGAGACCCTGAAGAATGAGAAGAAGCCAGCACTGGGACAGCCTGCTGAGGGAGACGAAGGCTCAGCGTGTTTGGGAACAGAATGGAATGCAGTGTGTCCAGGGCGAGGGAGGAATGCAGCATGGAGAAGGCTGGGGTGGGTAGGTAGGTTCCAAGCAGTGCTGGAGAGCAGCATCTGGAGTCCATGGGGCTCCGATGTCTCTTCAGAAAGCTCTCACTGGGCGCCTGTGGTGGAGGAGCTCTTCTCCCTAGGACCGGACTCGGGTTGCCAATCAGAGTGTCTTGGGAAATAATGAGGTCTGTGCAAGAGGAGATCAGTTAGGCAGAGAGCGTCTGGTGTCTGTGTGCCAAGCCTTGGGCACTCCTGGCTGGAGCTGTTCTGTGTTAGTTTTATCCAGTGTGCCTGGGGCAGCAGTGGCCTCTCCCTCTGGTGGTTGACAAGCCAGCAGGAGACAAGTGAAGAGCAGAAGTTGTGGTCAGGCCTTAACTGTAGCAAGAATCCCACAGATGCTGTCCTGGGAGGCCTCATAACTTACTGGGATTCAGTTCTTTCCATCCTGTGTGATGCGATGCTGTGGCTTGTTGGATCTGTGTACCCAGTGCATGTTGTTGAGTAAGTAGCTGGTAGCACAGGCTGGAACTTTGTTGTTGTCTTGAGAGGAGCAAGGCATTAGTGCAGGTCAGGGGCTCAGGACAGTGCTGCCAGCTGTTAGTACCCAGGGTATTCTGGTCTCAGCTAGTTATTGGAGTCAGGGCTTGATAGCTATGTTATTCTCCTGCCGAACTGTTGATCATCATGGGTTTCTTTGGGCCCTGCTTAGTTACTGTCCTGTTCTAGGAGCCCGGACCCCAAGTTTTCTTCTTCCCTGTCCCAGGCCTGGGCGTGGGGTGATGAGAGTATAGTTGGGCTGTGTTTGTGTGTGTGGTGTCCAGGCAACAGCCGCAGCCTCGAGATGAGCATACTTCCTCTCTCCCGGCTGCCACCACCCCACACCTCACCAGGCAGCCTTGGGGGATCTGCTGGGATAGGCAGCAGCTGTGCACTAGAGGTCATGAGAGCATTTGGATTTGTTCAGCAAATAAAGTGAATCTGAAGCCAGAAGTTCAGATGATATCCTTGCTCGGATACAGGACAGTGCATACAGGCTCATGGGATGGGCCAAGGTCACTGCAGGCCGTTTAGCTTTTCCTTGCAGGCTCTGGATGGTCCACACTGAGGACTTCATCAGGCCTCAAGCTGAAAATGAAAGTGACTTCTTGTACTGCAGGGAGGCAGTCCGGAGGCTGAGGTGGTGGGCTCTGGGTTCCCTGGCAGGATTGGGTGCTGGTCACAGTGCTGAGCACATGTGCTGTACCTGTGGAGCTCCTGTGCAGGGCAGACCCGTGTGGAGTCTGCTCTGGGGCTGGGAGGGGTGTGTGTGCTTGGTCACTGTGCTGCGCCTTGTCCGTCAGAGGTCGGCAGGTGTGTGTGACAAATGGATTATGCCCGTGCTTGCAGGGCGCCATGTTTTGGAAGTTTGACCTGCACACAAGCTCTCACCTGGACACACTGCTGGAGAAGGAGGACCTGAGCCTGCCGGAGCTTCTGGACGAGGAGGACGTGCTGCAGGAGTGCAAGGTTGTCAACCGGAAGCTCCTGGACTTCCTGCTGCAGCCATCCCACCTGCAGGCCATGGTGGCTTGGGTCACCCAGGAGCCCCCGGCCAGTGGTGAGGAGCGGCTACGCTACAAGTGAGTCAGTCCTTCACTCTCCCTGTACTCAGTAACTGAGCTCTGGGGTTGAGGAGGTGAGGCAGGGAGGGTCAGGCCCTTTACAGGATCGCAGCTCACCCAGTGAATACCCTCCATGGTCCAGTTCTTTTAAAAGTTCTGTATGATAAGACTCTCTAGACATGCTGAGTATGGGCTTTGGGATAAGTCCCATTCACACTTCAAACCTCGACAGGGAGCCAGGTCTCCCTGCTTTCATTTCATTGTTAACCTTTTTTCTTGTTTGTTCTTGTCTTCATTTTGTTGTTTTTGAGATGGGGTCCCATGTAGCCCAGACTGACTTTGAACTTGCTGTGTTGAGGATCACTTTGAATTCCTGATCTTCCTGCTCCCTTCCAAGTGCTGAGAT